TTCTTTTTAACGTTATAAATTAAATCCCGCGTTGCCGCGGAATCCCAATTATATACCATTTAAAAAAAAAACTTAATTTCTCGCCTCGACGAGATCCTACGATATACGAGAATATTTGACAGTTGCCGCGATATGACAAGATATGTTCTGATTGGCTGGTCGCTTCGACGCAGGACGCGAAAGTTGAAATTCGCCCAACTTCTGTGCGTCCTGCGTATTGAAGCCTGCGGCTTGTTGCGGCCGGAAATACGTCACGCTGCGTCTAATCTTGCGACTTGCGTCTTATGTAGATAGACCTTTATGTAGATAGACCTTTAGACGCTTGATCCCATACGCAATCGGCGTAGTGCGAGGACAGAAGGTGTCACCACCGGAAGCAGGTTGAAAAGGGTAACTAATTCCGAGCGTTGGTTTATATTGTCGTTTCAATTATTTATGAAAAAAGGAAACACAAAATGACTCACAATGTATGCAGATCAAGGTATTAATATGGAGAACCCGATTCTCTCAAGAATATCATTATCGTTAGACAAGTTCTATATCACTTCCTGTATTAAAGTTCTGTTCTGGACTTATTCACATTGCCGTGTGTCGACAATAACGTGTTGTTTTACGTTTCGTACCTTGCGGATAAAAATTAAGTTAATTTTCTTTATCGGTTCAAGCCAATTGTCAAATAACATATAGGTCCTTTAGTATTTCCTAGAATTTGCCATCTTGGTTGTAATTAAACGCATTATTTTTTTATTGATTTTGATTACGTAACAACATGGAAAATCAAACAGCAGATGTGGATATTCCGACCTTTTTTGCTGGCCGCTCTGTATTCATTACCGGAGGTACTGGTTTTCTGGGCAAAGTTCTTATCGAAAAACTTTTACGATCATGTTCCGATGTGGCAGAATTATTTGTGCTGATACGGCCAAAGAAAGGAGTAAGTGCCAACAATAGACTGAAGAAAGCATTGGACAATAAGGTAAGACCGGCACAAAAGTGCACAAATATATCTGCGCAATAGTTTGTAAGTTATTGCAATTTGCTAGGTTGAGAAAAGTATACACAAGAAGAAATATAACTAGGCACTAAGGACCGTATTACACTACAGGCTGCGGGCTCGGTTAGGGCCTGAGCAGAATGGCTGTCTTGTATTTATAATTTACAAGACAGTTCTTGGGCGTTACTTTAAAACAAAGATTTAAAACATAAAACATTGTCTTAAGAGTACAAGACAGTCAATCTGCTCAGGCTCTTACGGTTGGGATTGACGAAACAGCCGGCAAGCTGCTTTGCTCCAGGCTGGTCGATTAGTCAATCCTAACCGAGTGTGCAACTTGTAGTCTAATACGACCATTAGATTTTAGCTAGACCGTAGAGGTGTTTCTATTATTATACAAGTTATCATTGATAAAAGAATCACATGGGAACTTTATACGGTACACATAATTATAAATTCGTGTAGTTGATGTCGTATATAGTATGTAGACTACTAGTAGAAATAATTTTACTAGTAGAATTGATCTTCAAAATTAGTGAGAATCTATTTTTAAATAAGCGAGAAATACAATGTGTACTTATTTTTTAATCTTACACAATACATATGTTCTATATTATTAGTAACAAGATTTATCTGATCAAAGTTACAGAATAAAATGTTGATCTTATTCTACAGGG